GAAGAATATAGCACCGGTCATTTTTCGCACTATGAACTCTGATGACTATGGAATTAAATTCACTTGAAGAACAAAAGTGATTTTTTTCTCACAATATTATCAAAATTTATCAATCAAAATCAGTCTCTAGGAAAAGAGTGATATTTTCTTATACATTCTAATCAAGTGGTAAAGGTAGACTTTGAAATTCTATGGATTTTAATGGACGTACGTTGGCTTACATGGATTTGGATGGGCTCTCAAAGCCCGCTGGACTTCATAAGTTTAATTAAATCTTTACAGGTCACAAAAGTCCCTGTAAATCTGTGTAAGTCTCTAAAAGTTTGCGTAAGGCTCAACAGATCTATAAAGTCACTATAAATCCTTAGACTTATCTGGATTTAAATAGACTTTGAAAATCCATAATTGGTGTTTAAGTCTTCTTTTTCTTCCTTAACTCCAGCTGCTGTTGTTTCTTAACTTTTCGATTTTTGTTCTGTTTTGGTATTTATGAGTAAAAATACGATATATCTCATTTCACTTCTTTTCTATTGATGCGATTATAACATGTTTCATTAATTACATGGTCGTTTACTATATGTAATTTATTGACGTTGATAGATGGACAGGTAAAGCGAAACATACAAAAAACGAAAAAAATTAGTTTGGAACATGATCAACGAACCCTAAAGTAATATATTCTCTTTCTAATGAACAAAGATATGTGAAATTTGAGAAGGAATATTTCAAGCACGATGATTTCTTTTTTTTATGTACAAGTCAATCATTGATAACTACACTGAAAAAAAAAGTGAGTTATCTACTTTTCGAAGAACTTACTGCAGTTTTTTGAAGTACTACTAAAACTAATAAATAATTCCAGATTTTGAAGAACTCAGTTTGAGTTCTTTAGTCATTTCACTATAGGGGACAAGTGGAGAATTCAAATTTTTTACAGTGCAATTGTGCAAGATCGTCAATATTTAGATATTTATATTATAGCTTATTAAATGAGTCTTTTTAACCAAATATTTGTAATAATACTTTGCAATTAATTTCTCTCTGTATGTCAAGGTCACTAGACGAAATATAAATGAACCTAAAAATTATCTCTCCTTCTTCTCTTTGTACATATGTTTGATATCAATGATGACTGATCTCTAAATTAATTCATTACTTAAATAGAGCAACGTCAATTTCGAAGATACAATGACACGATAGATTTCCGATTATAGAATAAAGAGTCAGTAGATAAACGAACTAGATTTTTTACTTCATGCTAGACTATCTCAAATTTTCTTTTTAAATTAATAATAATATCACACATCAATGTAGAAATATTACTCTATAAAAAAGATTCTAATATATTAAAATATGACATGTGCAGACAATTCTGTAGAATGTCTCAAGTTATTATCGTCCTATTTTCCTCGATTAAACAAAAGGAGCCCTAATTTTATGAATACGTTACGGATGAGTATATAAAAACTTTTGTTCTATTGTTTGTTTAGTCAAAAACTTACAGTGAAGCGCAACTGAATCATCTAGACAATGTTTATTCATAAAAAAGGATCTATGAACGGAAGAGTAATTGTATACTCGGAAAGAAATCACACCTTATTCTTTGATTCACGTTTTTCCATTCAACCACAATCTTTTTCTCTTCATTTTCTTTTAAATAATATGGAAGCTCAGTACAGTACACAATCCTGGTCCTACTCATTACTCTGTAAAAAGAAACGTTGATAAATAAACACACTAAATGGATGCGGGAGAGGAAAAAACCCAGTTAAAAAGCCATCTGGGTTTATTAAAAGCTTTTCCGAACCTTAAATGGATTGATGACACTCCAGAACTCAAGGTACATGACAGTTACAAATCAATAAATCCAATTTTTCCGAAATCTTTAAGGATTGATTAAACAACTCTTAAAGGTTTTGGATCGGGTTTTTTCCTCTCCCGTACCAATTTGGTGCGTTTATTAATCGATGTTTTGTTTATAGAGTAGTATTACAAAATGCATTGAGGGTGCCATCTCACACAAGGATAAGATCGATGAATAATGCTTAAGGTAAGATGTTTCAATCGATCTTATTTAGAAAATCTTTTTTTGTTTTCCATTCTCATTAAACGTGTGCAATTATTGCTTTCATCCGTGGACAAATAAAGACTTGCGAAAAAATTATTTTTTTCTGACTAACTGGAATATCCATGTCCACGATTTTTAGCGTTAGTATCTAGAGGTACGCATCTCTGAGATTCGGAGCGTGAATGTTTCCTTCATCTAACATTATGCTATCAATCACATTCACACCCATCGTGGTACTTTTTGTGTTTAAGTGAACACGTTTTTTCCAGAAAACTGAAAAATTCGCGTTTAAACGCACATTTTTTAATCTTTTGAGAAAAAATGCCATCAAACGCAGAAAAAATGGTTTAAACGTTCGCTTTTTTGTGGCCGTTTAAATGCATTTTTTTCTTCTCGTAACAACGAACAATGAGAAGCTTATCTGTTCCGCATGCATTTCCTCTGGTCTCATATTTTACTGAGCTGAACATTTCAGGAGGAATTCTTGTTCTATTGAAGGAAGAAAATAGATGATGGCAAAGCCCCCTACTAAAATTTATTTAATCAATTTAATTAGGCTTTTATTATGGTTGTTTATACTGAATTTTGTATTAGAGTGCGGCATTGATCATTACCACATTGACATGCCAAAATCGTGCGGCATTGTCTCGGCACTTCTCTTATGAGAAGGAAAAGATGAAGTCAGGAAGACATTCGAAATATTAGAAGTATACCGTGGTGCTAATATAGATAGAATTGATAGAATAAAAATGGTAATTGAAAACAAAACTTCGACATCGGTGCGAGAGTTTTACATTCTTTCTGACGCTGATGTGCATCGATATCCAGAAAAAAATGATTCGGCACCGGTGCGCATTCGTGCATAACCAATGTTGATAAAATATTTTTTTGTAGGATAAGATTTAATTTGATTTTCCGCTGATTTTATCTTACTGGTTTATTCTATAGATTTATTATTCTTATTTGTTTAATTATTCTCTGATCCCAGCTAGCCAGAATCAAGTGATTCTGAGCTGGGATAAGCCGAAGACTTGTGAGTACTGACTTACACGTCGTCGAACGGTAGCAAGTTTCAATGGCTGCGTTCAGTGCGAAAATTTAAGCCTAAAAGAATTTTTCATTTTCTACGGTAGTTTTTCTATACTAGAGTGACTACAAAGAACGTCAGTGATTGTGTTCTCGTATAGGAAAAGCAAAGAAAACATATACGGAACGAAAACACAGGAATCCTACACAACATCTTACCGTAGAATTTTGTAAGAAACGCATAAAATTCCTACTATAGGATTTTTGCTACGGTCCTATATCAGGAATCGGTAAAACGGAATTTCGCCATTGTCGTTTTTGCTCAATATTTTCGGCAAATTGTCGAAAGTCAGTCTGGTTTTCGAATTTCAGGTTGTTTTTCGACTATTATCTTAAGTCCCTGTAATTTCGACAATTGTCAAAAATCAATCGGCATATCGAGCAATTACTAAATGTTAGTAAAAGTAGTTCAGGTGGAACAATATCAAAAAATTGGTTATAATGTACACACTTATCCAAAGCAATAGATTAAAACAGAATCAGTGAGCAGTCTTCTTCTAATAATTCACAAATGAAGGTCTTTTCTCTTTTGTGAAAACTTCCTAGGACTTGTCCGTTTTCCGAAGGAAAAAGAAGTTTGAAGTATAAAGTTTATATACGAGGATTTTTGTGATTTCCAGGGGGGTTTGTCAGTAGTTGTAAACACACATTTCAGTAGTTGTACTACAGATACTAAAATGTGTGTTTACAGCTACTGAAAATTGTGTTGAACACAATTTCCAGTAGCTGTAAACTTTTGGGGTGAAATTGTGATTGATCAAATTTCAATATAAATTTGATGTTTACAGTTACTGAATGGATTAGTAACAGACAGTGCATTATTGATCTGATGTTGTTGACACAAGTTTTAAAAATTATTACCATATCTCTCCATAGTATCAGAAAAAAACGCTATTAAATAGAAGTTTCTCTCACGCACTACTATTCTTATTTAACTTCCTTCTATTTATACATCTTCTATGTTATAGTCTAACAGTTCAATAGGAAGTTTTCACATTTTTGCTTCGTAGACGCAACGTTGACAAGCCTTTACAAATACAGATCCCACAGAGCAACCAAAAAAAAATAGACTTTCTGTATCTCACAGCAAATGAAGTGTGACAAATAAGAAATCACACAAATTACAAAAATACAAGAATACACAGATTATAGATTATAATCACACAGTATATTATTTTATTATTATGCCCGGTATATGCTATTAAAAATTTTACTTCTAGTGCAACTGAAAATTACTGTCGAAATTCCGTTGGATTTTCGGCAATTGTTGAAGTTCATTGTAAATAAGATAATACGAAGAAAATCATATCGATTTTCGACAATTGTCGAAATTGTTGGCGGCTTTGCTCTGCATATTCGACAATTGTCAAATATGCCTAGCAAAGCATATTCGACATTTTCATTTTTCGATAGTTTGGGCACGCAAATTCACCAGTAGCATGGTTATGATTATGATGAGATGTAAGCTATTATTAATTCGATCTTCATAGAATACAGTTAGTTACACCGGTTTTTATTTTAACAAGATGTGACTGATAATCGCAAAATTAAACTCAAGGAGAAAAAGTTTAAATTTTTCTCTCCGAAAAATTTGTTTATTGTCAATATAAAATAGAACCTAAGCTAGAATGTTCAAGACTACTACACAATTGTATTATTGTATTATGTTATTATATGTATTAGTGAATGTTATTAAAATTCTTGTGTTCAAAAACAACTATACATTCTTGACCTTTGACAATATAGTGAGTGTGTAAATAAACACAAGAGAAAAGTGAAACAAGTTTTTTATTATTCTCCTTAGTATGGTGTTAGAATGTGTTGTCCGAATGTGAATCAGGATATAATGTCAGTAAAACGCAATCTGCTTGCAAAATTAGAAACTCAAAAATATCCATTATTTCTTAATCTGACGTTTTCTTTTCCAAAAATGATAACTACACCGACAAATTCATATCCAATATTTCAACAACGAACAGCTACAACAGCTGCGCCACCAATTCCATCTATCTATCAGCATGCGTATAAAAGTTTAATAATAACGAATACGGTGGTAGGTGCATTTTCGATTATTCTTATGATTACATTAACTGGATTTTTAATATTTTTACTTCTATCAACAAATCGACGACGATGGCAAGCAAAACGAGAAATACATACAGATCTATTACCGTCTTTTAATGCTAATACTCAATTCATGGGACATCGATTGAATCCACTTTATGACCCTTCGCAATTTGGTACAACCGTTTTTCATCAAACACACGCATTACTTCACCCCTTTTGGACGCCTTCATCACCACCTCCAGCTGCTCATACCACACCGAATCAAACAATCAAAAAATAGTGATACTTTTACCTTTAAAATTGGTTTACAGTTCTTTTTTTTACACGACATAAAACGTTTCTCATTTGTCCAAAATTGATATTTTAAACAACTGTTATATATTTAATTAGTTTTATATTTATTTAGAACTCTATCTGAAAGAAATTCTTCATTATTTAGTAGGTGACGAAAGTTACAAAGTTAAATTATTATTAGTTCTGCGTCATTATATCAATATTGATCATTGCTATAAATGCCTCATATTTCATATAAACACCATTAAGTATCATATGAAACTCAGCAAACAAAATTATTTTCTAAAATAAGACGAATTCATTAGTCACAATAAGACGACTAATTGTGTAACTGTTAGTTTCATATCATTTGTCACTCATTTCAAAAATGAGCAGTGAAATATTGGATTGTAATTGTAGAGATTAATTGTATTTATCCAAAACATGAAAATAAACGATCGTAATCAAATTATTTGAAACTTATACATGTCAATGAGAATTAAATGAGAATCTTTATTTTTTAATAAATGTTTTCATTAGAAAATTAACTGCTGCTCTAATTAGGCATTTTAAGTGATTTGTTAAACCGAAGCTTTTCAAGGGATACAAATTCATATTGAGAAAATTTGTAGAGCTTTTTGTTGCCAGAAGGAAAGATGGAAAGTTTTAAGTTTAAAAAGAGTTTTGGGAACACAATGGCTGGCTGTGTTTGCACTTTCTGTTACCTTTCCAACTTACGGTCGATGGGACGATGCCAGGTATTCTTAAAAGATATACGGCGAGAATAGAGTTAGTTTCGTTCTCTATTTGTAAAAACAGAACGAAAAAAATAACGGGTGCGGCATAAATATTGATACCGCCAGTATTTCAACAATATCTCGGTGAGTTTTCATTTTAGAGACTCGAGTGCAGTCTCAAAACATTTTCCATTTAATTCTCTACTAAACTCTAAGAAAAGAACACGCACAACAAATAACCATGAATTCACAGGCTGTCAACACTGCTATGTTCCAAACGGGAACCCTTTCCAACCAATATTTTGTTTTTACTTTTTCGCCGCACTTTCGTCGCATAGAGAAAGACTGAATATGCCATTTTGTAGTTCTTGCAATGGTCTATCAGTTCAGAAACAACTGATACGTTTTTCATTTGAAGCCTTTGGGATCGAGACCTTTTCCCTTTTATTTCATATTCGGTTTTCTACGCCCTGCTAATGGGGTTCATTGTAAATTTTGTACAGTTAGGACAAAGTGTAACGTTTTCTTGCCAATTTTGTTTTGCAACGGTGCAGAAAAATGTTTTCTCTATTATCTCTAACAAAGCCAATTGGCGTACAAGTCTTCTTTTGGCATCCATAGTGCGCGACAGGAAAATCCTAGTTCCGATTCGTTTTCAAGGAAATCTGCCACAAGAAACTCAGCTGTTTAAAAATAGTTTTTTTAACTTGCTTTGGTTGCTGAGAAAAAGCATTTTTTCTAAATCAGAGGCAAAAAAGTCGGGATTCTGCCCCGTAATTCCCAATTTTCTCGACCAGAACGCAACTTTTGAACAATAAAAATATCATTAGGATCAAAGACTGACTCCACTGATGTGTATTTCAAAATTTTTAGTTGATTTCCAGTTTTGGGTGAAAATCTCGGTAGTTTTCAACGTGAAAATTCGAAAAACATTAAAGTAGTGGGATCGGATAGAAATACACATCAGTGGACTCAATCTTTGATCCTAATTCCGAAAATGATATTTTTACTGCTCAAAAGTTGCGTTCTGGTCGAGAAAATTTGGAAATTACGGGTCAAAATTCCGACTTTTTCACCTCTGATTTAGAAAAAATGCTTTCTCAGCAACCAAAAGAAATTTAAAAAAACTGCACGTATAACTTTGTTCTGCGTTGCAAGGCGAATCTAACAATGTAAAAATTTTGATACTAGCATCTTTGAAAAAGTCTGAATTAGAGCCGCAAAGTGTGTCTGATGCTTTCGGTACGCTTCGGTTTCGAGCCTCGGGAGAAATCCATTTTTAGTCCTATGGCTTTAAAAGTTAGTTTTCCAGATTCAGTTTTCAATTCTGAATCCGAAAAACTAACTCCCAAGTCCCAATATCAAAATCCAGAAAAACTTGAGCCATTTTATTAGAACCGTGCATTTTTCGGATTTTACATATGGTCCTAGTATTTTGAGCATATCTCAGCAAGAAAAGGGTTTGGGGAGGCGGGATTGTGATATTTGTGATCGCCTCGCGATCCTCTATTGAATGGTGTATGAAAGAACGAAATCTAAATTTCACTGTAAGTCTGTTTTCCGTGCATCCTACAATTTTTTTTTTGGTAGAAAAACAATATTGATGACTTGTCCATACAAAAGAAAGATTTTCTGCTGAAGATTAAAAATCTTCATTTTCCTCCTAAATGTAGATCCAAATTTTGAAAAACGGTGTTTGCTATATCTCTTGAATGGGTAAATCTTTTCTTACTTACTATCTGATGTACGATTTAGATTTTCTTTTTTATCTCTCTTACCTTATCATAGCCAAAAAAATGATAGATATATTCAGTAGCCACTAATTTTTATACTATTGTATAACTTGATCAAATTTATTTTGATTTATTTTATAAAGCGGAATAATACAGGAACGAGTCAACACTTCAACCGTTCCAGTACAACAAGAATAGGCACTGAATGATTTTGAACAACTAACAGAGAGCAGATTAAAAAAAAACCGGGTGCAAGTATAAAAAATAGATCTATACGTGTGTATGTATGTATGTGTGTGTGTGTGTGTGTGTGTGTGTGTGAGTGGATACCAAAAAAATAACTAACCCTCCTCTTATTATCAATGAGATTATAAGGCACTATCTAATCATCACCTTGTAACTGACTTCGCGAACAATTATCATTTATACATTATTGAATGAGTATATCAACGATCCTCGATCTTATTTTGATTTTACCGTATTTCCAGTAATTTCAGTAGACCAAGATGAACGATTACTACCAGATGGATAAAAATCAAGTCTAAAAAAGAATGAATAAAAATTAAAAAAATTATTATTAAGTTATTTTAGAACTCTTTAATACATACAAAAATTTAAATTGATCAGGTAATGCTGTATGTATATGTTGTGTTTTCATATATTGTATTTGTTTTTTCAAATCATTTATATTTCTTCCATAACCATTGAATATATAATCACCAAATATTAATTGTCCATTTTGATAGATCAATACAAAACCTGGTTGTACATTATGTCTTACAATAAGCAATGGGCCCATATGAGTTGAATATTTTGTTGTTTGTCCAATATCATATAGTACACAACGATATTCATCATGAAGACAAAATCGACATGGTGTTGTACGCATTTTATTCATATGATAATGTAATGTAAGAAATATTTCATTTAAATCATTTTTATTAAATTTTTCAGTATTTGAATTTATTATTCCAATAATAATTAATTGTTTAGGATTTTTTTGTTTAATTAAATTAATAAATGTATCAAATTCAAGATCATTTACTAATGGAACTTGATCAATACGACATGAACACATTGATGTATCAATTTGAGAACAATCGGATAATAAATAGTGACGAATAACTTGAGGACATACAAAATCTAATGATGAAAATAAATCTTTTTTATCATCCATATCCTTAGAGATCAATGATGTATCAATGGCTGTTGAATGACGTCTAAATGAGAAAAAAAAAATAAAGTAGTCCATTTTATGATCATTTTATTTTTTTGTTTTTTTTTTGCACACACATAGTATACCTTCTTATGAATGGTAAAATTGTTTTTGGATTGAATCTATTTGATTTATTACTTTTTGATGTTTTTAAATTTGATCGTGGAACAAATTGCATAATAGAATTTAAGATAGCATCGCCATTATCATCTAAAATCATTAAAAAAACACAACAACATATGTATAGAAATCAAAAAATATCTTTAAAAATAATAACCATATTTTCTTGCTGATCGAGTTCGTTTTATTTTATCTTTTTCAATTTGAAATTCATCTTGTGGTTTTGTCGATATTATTGTAGCTGTAGTTATATGTGCACTTTTACTTCTTGTCTCATCATCTAATGGTTTTAATAAATCTTTTGATTTTTTTTGTTTTTTTGATTTTTTTGTTTTAGGTGGTGGCCAATCGGGTAAATGATAAGAATCAATATCAAGTACACCTACAAAAATAAAATATAAAACGTAAGGTTCTGGAAATTCAAAATTCGAGCGCTTTTTCTTTTTTCGATTTTATTACATGGATAGATGCGATTCGACGTACTGATTCTAACCATGCATAATTTGTTCGGAAAAAGTTCGTTTTTCAGGGCAAAACAGGCAAAAAACTAAAGGTTCAAAAAAAGAGAGCTTTTGGAAGAAAAAGAGCCTGCAGTTTTTTAAGGGTGCCCCCCCCCGGGGGGGGTGTGGGGGGGGGGGGGGCGGGGGGGCGGGGGGGGGGGGGGGGGGGGGGG